TGTGTGTGTGTGTGTATCACACAGAACATCCCAAACCATCTTATTCAACTATACACCCACTTCTCAGATGGCACCCTCCCATAGCTTCCCTCCGCCCACTAGAGCCGTTATGCTCTGATATCCCTGCTACTGTCTGCTGTGTTGTCCACCCCCCCCCCAGCCATTCCCCACTACTTGTCCATCTGGTGAATCTAGTCAGCCTATCTAGAGGTCTTTGTTTTAGGAAGGTTAGCTGTTCTTCATCTAGCAGCAATCAGTTGTCGATATTCCTTTAGATAAGATTGGGATCTGCTGTTCATTTTCCCAGTTCTATGCTGGGTTACTATCTGGGAGTCCCTTTGGCCACCCTGGCCCAACAACTCAAAAGAAGGTATCTCCTATCTGGCATTGTTACTTGTTATGTAGCCTTTAGCTATGCTTATGGACTCTTAAAAAATTATATTGTCCCCTTTAATCTTTGGTTGTACTTTGAGTGTTTAAAGCCATACAGTTGGCCCAGAAAAACTAATTTATTTTTACTTTTAACCTTGTATGAGGATCTGTTCCTCAGGGGTCACATGGGCTTGGGAGGAGCCCCTGGCTCCTTTCTTTTACCAGTTTGGCCTATGTGAAGATAAGTCAAAGGTCCTGCTCGACCATGGTTGGCTTCACTTGGAAGCATGGAGGAGATTATTCCTCTATGTTAACCCTCCTCTTTGTAGACTGGACACTAGTTCACGTCCATCTGGTGGGATCTCCTCAGTCTCCTTGATCAAGAGGACAGGTGACCCACCACAATTACAGGACATTTGGGAGATGCGCATAGTCCCCTGGAACTAGTCGACCAAGGAGGGCAAGGAGCAAGAACTGCCCTTTATGTCCCTCTGTCCAAATTAGTATAGGACTCAGAGTATAGCTGTTAAATATCCAAGAAGGTTATTTCCACCAGTCTGGCACTTTTAATTACCATATGCCATGTAGATAAAGCTTGGGCAAAGACCAAACATTCTCAGATAAACCTTGTCTAGACATGTATTACATTCTTTGATCTGTTTGTATATATAATTTGTCAGCAGGTTGTTGGCCTAATATGGTTCCCTCTGGTTTTCTAAAGCTACCTAAGCGTTATTTATCTCTCACATTGTCTAACCCTTCCACCATGGTTTACCCATTTAAGGTACCACCATTTTCCCGATTTCTCCCTTAATAATACCCTTCTCCTATGGTCCCACCTCTCTTGAGCTCCTTCTTTCCCTTTATCCCCAAGGTTCCTTGTATAACCTTCCCTCCCCCCTCCCCTTAAAATAACCCCATTTGTATCCATATCTCCCTTATTAATGCCTATTTCCTACTGTTTATTAGGGTTTCAAACAGCAACAGCTCCC